AAAACGGCTACCACGGAGGATAACGTGACAAAAATTCACGGTGTCTTATTGGCAGATCGACGATTGAAGGTGCGCGAGATAACTAGGATCGTAGGCATCCCAAAAGACCGCGTGGGTCATGTTCTGCATGAAATTTTGGGCATGAGAAAGCTGTCGGCGCGATGGGTGCCGCGTTTGCTCACTCCGGACAACAAGCGCAACCGTGAGACAACTTCAGAGCAATGTCTGACGCTGTTTAAGTGCAATCCGAAGGAGTTTCTGCGTCGTTTCGTGACAGTCGACGAAACATGGATCCACTGGTATACACCAAAGACCAAGGAACAGTCGGAACAGTGGACTTTATCCGGCGAAAGTGCTCCGAAATAGGCGAAGACTGCCCCATCGGCCGGAAAGGAGATGGCCACCGTTTTCTGGGATTCAGAAGGTGTGATCTGCATCGACTACCTGGAAAGGGGCAAAACGGTCACAGGGCTGTACTATGCCGAACTATTGGGCCGATTCGACGTCGAATTGCAGGAAAAATGGCCCCATTTGGCGAAGGAAAAGTGCTCTTCTACCATGACAATGCACCGGCTCACACCTCCGTCGTGGCCATGGCCAAATTGGTTGAATTAGGCTACAAACTGCTGCCCCATCCACCGTATTCTCCAGATTTGGCCCCGTGCGACTTCTATTTGTTTCCAAACTTGAAAAAGTCACTCGCCGGGCAGAAATTTGAGTCGAATGAGGAGGCAATCGTCGCCACGAAGGCCTACTTTGCAGACCTCGAGGAAACGTATTTTTCAAATGGGTTAAAGAAGTTGGAGCATTGCTGAGCCAGGTGTATTAAACTAAAAGGAGACTATTTTGAAAAATAAAACGCCACTTTTCCAAACTTTTGTAGGCTAAGTACTTATCGGACCACCCTCGTAAGCTGTCATTATTTTGAATGTTGCTTTATCGGAAAAAAGAACAAAGCAAGAAAAACTATAATCTATTTAAATCATTTGTAAATCACATTCACAGAAACATATACGTCGTAATATATCGGCGCCAAAGTCTGCGTTAATGAATGACTGGTTTGCAAAATCCTGATAACTGTTGTTTTAGGAATACTGCTTTTTCTACTTAACTGGTGTGAACTTATCTGAGGATTCATGTGAACCAAAACAAGAACCACTAAAACTTGAATGACATCCCCGTACTCATATCGCCTTCGGCGACCCACATGACCATTTCGTGCTTTTCTTGTTAAACGCCTAATAATCATTGGATTAGAGATTGGTCTACCTTTGTAAAGCTGTGCATTACGTCACGCAGCTGCATGATATTTGCCATGAAATTTTCCTAAAACTAGGGCTATATTCACAATCTCATATGGAGTGGAATCAGTAAAATACATATGTTTTTAGTAAATAATACACATTACTGAAAAATACATTCTAGCAAGGGGATATTCCAAATAATTTATTTGTTTCGATATTATAGATATAATCAATGAGTATAAAAGATTACTAGAATCCACGGAAAAGGTCTATAACGAGTGAAATTGCTGACTCGTTATATCTCTCTCTCTCCCTAGTAGCGATAAGTCAATGTAACATATTTTTCCAAGCCTATCCTATGTACTTATGAATTAATTATATTTATATTAATTTATTATATATATTTACATATGTAGTTACACTTCTGTTCTGATATAAGGTAAGTGAAGTGAGAGATGCGAGTACGCAGGGATACTTCCGTGCGCGACAGCAAGGCGCGGAGAGAGAGAGAGAGAGAACATAGTCGCGCCTTAGTGAGTGACTGCGCGCACTGATTGGCTCATTAAGACGCAATCGAGTAGTTGAGCCCGTGGCGCGAGCAGTAGCTGTCTAGACATGCGAGTGAGCAGACGGAGTCCTTTGTTCCAATTACCTTCTTTCCTTGGACCTTAACTGTGGCCTGCCGCCCTTTTTCTTCGCCCTTGGAGTGTATGTCCCTGTTCAAGGAGGAATTGCGACGTCCTGGCTCTGGGGATGATTTGAACACGTGGGCCATAGCCGGTAGTGCGAAGCATCGTTGTGCTAGGCACCATTACAAAAAGAGACAGAGCTGCGTAGAGCACGTGGTGTTCTATTGTTCGAGCGTACGCCTTAACGCAAACTGTAGAAGCCGTCGGCGTACCTAGAGTTCAGTCACCTGTATTGTAAGTACCGGTTTGATGGTTTGCTCTCTCTCTCTCTCTCTCTCTCTCTCTCTCTCTCTCTCTCTCTCTCTCTCTCTCTCTCTCTCTCTCTCTCTCTCTCTCTCTCTCTCTCTCTCTCTCTCTCTCTCTCTCTCTCTCTCTATTCGTTCACTTAGCGTGCTCTCTCCCTCCTTCCGATCGCCTGCGTTAACTTTTTCTTGATTAAAGATTCTTTTCTTTTAACTTAATCGTGTCCCGCTGCTTTATTCGAACATCCTACCTTCTCGCGCCGACAACCGCTTTTGAATTTCCAACTTTCGCGTTCCTTAGTCAACACTACGAATCTGCGCTGATTCGGCCGTCCTGTCACCGGCGTGACGAGCACCGGACCTGGGAGGACGACTACGTCCAGAGAGCTTCAGACTTCGTTTGTTCGATTATTCCCCATTTATTGTTTTTTTTTATATGTTCACGGGGTAAACCGGGCTAAATCCCCGTTATAGGTCGTAACATAGTTTATTCTCAAATTTTGAACATTACGTAGTATCTTCACTTAGCTTCATTTGTTTGAGTCATAGTGTTATATACAACTGTTTAAGATGGCTTCGGAACAAAAGTGTCAGTTGTAAAATAATATTGATTTCTCCTGACCTTCAAATAATAATCAAAGGTTTTTCAGGGTCAATGGCGTCAACTTAAAAACTTTTTTGATCTCATATGACTTCTGGGGGCCCACCGGACCTCACGCATGGTAACTCACATGAATGTAAAATTTTCCGCTCTTTCCAAGTCCAGACTAAACAAAAAAGGTTCCTAATAAAAGAATAATGTTGACCTTCAACTGACTTTAAAACTGAGTTCAAGAACAACTGAATCAAAACTTCAAGATCAAAGGCAACGTCACGAGGATATCTTCCTTCAAAGTTGAGTAACATTTACCTGAAACATTTTTTGCTAAACATCACTCTGGTAGAGATATACGGATTTATCGATTCAAATGGATGACCCTGTATATATAAAACCCATCTACATTAAAATTGAAATAGAGGTGTTGAACAGTAAATTAACAGAAATGGCATCCTGAATAAAAAAATATATATAAAATAACGAGGTTAACGGATCTCACTTGAAAAAATAATATGATTTGATGACCAATATTGTAAGGATAAATAAGAAAAATTTCAATATGTTTGTCGTAGAAAGACATTACCCCTGATATTGGATTGCAGATTTCACCTTCAGTGCCTTCCTAGGTGATGGATAGGGTAATGCTTTCGAGGGATTATTCATAAAAGAAGTGTATTAAAAACATTTTGACCATATTTCAATTTTTAGTCTATTCACGTTCCTCAAACTTAAAAAAAACAATGTATTTTATGACCGAATCTTAAATAAAAATAGTGATTACCGGAGTGAGACCGGAGAGACCCAAAATTAGTTGAATAAGGTTAATAAAGCCGTATTATATTGTTTCATTAAGAAAGCATATCATAAAAATCAGCCATATTTGAACAAATATAGAAGGTCCGGCAAAATAAATGCAAGGTGGAGTTAACCAGGAGTTCATGCTATCGTAAACATTTTTGACATAATATAAGTATAAAGAACAAGTTGCACTTTGGTAAAAAAATCTTATCCGCGATATATATTGGATCAAATGATCATGAAATATCACAATACTTTTACTACATTTTGTTAGTGACCTTGTCATTATCAATAACTAATTAAATTTTCAATTAATATAAAAAATTAATGTTTTTATTTAGCTCGCATTTCATTTGAATCTTATTACTTATACCTTTTTAGTTTAATGAGTAATAATAGATGTGTAATAAGATGTGTAATAAGATGTGAAATAAGTAATAATAGATTAATAATTGAAATCCAGTCGTGTAGGTCTTAGAATTATTACCAACTACAAAATTGTCAAGGTCGTCGTCGTTGTCAAGGAATTGATCGGAAGTCGTCAAACTAGTACATTTTAAAATTTTTGATCAAAATACTTTTCATTTCTGCGACGTTCTATTATTATTGCCATATAGTATGCCCAAAAATATAAAAAACTTAAAAATATGATGAATAACAACATCGTCAATATTAGTTAGATAAAGTAAATACTATCCATCGCATGATTTACTCATGTGTAGTATATACATTTGAATTTTTCTTAGAACTTAGTTGGACTGTATATTTGCGAAGCAAAAGAAAATCTGTAGCTTTCAATCTAACGTCAACTATATTCGCAAGACTTTCGGTAACATAGTTTTAACACTACCATACGTGAGTGTAAAGTTTGGATTAGTTTTGAAATTTGAGATAGAGAGATCAAATGCATATCCACAAAAATTGCAGTAAAGATGTTGAATCACGATGCATCACTTGCTCGTGTACAACATATAATTTTAAGACAATAAAATTATATTGTTAAAATAATTAAATACGTATAAGTATTTACTAGAATTCTCCTTGATACTTTTCAATTTTAATTCGATTGAAAAAGATTACAAATAAACTATGAAATTGTAAATTTATATAAAATTCAACTTTGCAGTCATTTCTCACTTCTAAAATAAAAAAATTGCCTAAATGACAAAAATTGTTGAAAAAAGTGTTATTCAGTAATTTCAAATTTATGATTTCATAACAGAACATATAATTTTAAGAAGATATACCCGACTAGATTTCAATCGCCATACTATTTTATTTAACATGCATTTCAGGTCACCATGTTACATTCTCGAAAGTAACGAGGCATTTGTTCCCCTTTTTATAAATAACCATTAAAATAATTTTCAATCAATTTCCATGATAATAAACATTCTATAAAATATTTTCAGTATTATTGGAAAACTACCTTATTGGATTATTTTCTTGGTCAGGATAACGTGTTTTCATTAACGGATTTGATGAATATATACAGTTACTAGTCATTAATACCAAAAAAATTTTTTTGGCTTTTGTACTATTTGGAAAATCTATAACAGTTCCACCAAAAAAAACCAGATTTTGTAGCTTCAGCTATGATGACATTTACTTGTTCATTGTTTTCAGGGTAAAATTGGAATATAGCTCGTGCGTGCGTAGATAAACTTGAAAATAGTGTGCGGAAGAATACTTGTAATCTTTTTTTAACAATATGTAATTTCTTGTCGCTATTGCAGAGCCATTGCAGAACTGAAATGCTAATTGCACCATCGAAACATCCAGCACAAAACGAAATGCCTTGTCCAATATCAGATAAAATTAAGTCTCCTTTTCTGTTGCATTTCATAGCTACATCTGAAATAATAAAATGATGTTAATATACTATAATTTTTCTATAATAATGCTAAAACAAATTTATGAACATTAAGAAACAACATTTCGTTGCAATCACAAGTCGTAAGTACTTAACAAATTTACTTTTTGACATGTATATTTGAAATGTCTCCTTAAACTATTCACTATACGGGGTGTCCCATTTTAAAGTTACCACCCCGAAATTTTCGACGGTTGGCGTTGTACTAAAAAATTGTTCAGACAATAGTTGTTTGGGACAATGGGGGCAACCTTTCTGTGAAATCCGGTTTGACCTTGAGATTTATTTTCAAGGTCATTTGAAGGTCAAAGTCATTTTTTGAATAGGAACCTATATTTTTGATCCCGGATTCGGAAAGAGCGGAAAATTCTACGTTTAGATAACGTATTATGTGTGGGGTGCGGTTAACCTCCCCCCCCCCGCCTAAGGTCATGTAAGGGTTAAATTTATGATTTTCTTCATCTATGCATAGGGACGATCGGGCAAGGGTAAGGTTAATTGTAATAACCTAATAACTCCAATAAGCAATAACTCGATAACCCCAATAAACCCAATAACCCAATAACCAAGAGATATTTTGAATAAGGACCGCCATTTTTTATCCCGGATTCGATAAGAGCGGGAAATTCTACGTTTAGATAAAGTATTATGTTGGGGGAGCGGTTCACCTCCCACCCCCATCCCACCGGGGCAAGGGTGAGGTTAATAAGGTATTGATTACCCAGCCAGTGAAGGCAAGGTATTGACTACCCAGCCAATGAAGGTAAGGTATCGATTACCCAGCCAATGAAGGCAAGGTATTGATTACCCAGCCGGATGCTGCGGGTAATACCTTGCCGCCGCACGATATCGGCCTTGACTTGCCCCGAGAGACAACATAATATCAACAATTTCGTTTCTCGAATAATCCAACATATTCCCTCCTTTTAAGTCGACTAAGAAAATTACACTTGAACTATCCTGAGAAGGACTGTTCGCGAATCACTATTGTCATAAACAATACTAAAAAAGTATTATTAAACAATTTAGTTGAAACTTTGTAGGCTTGTCCGGAATCACACCAGAAAAAAGAATGGAAATAACATGTTATCCCACAAAATGGAAATAGACACTTCTCATGAAGGCTTTGAATACATGAAGTCGACTTTGAAAATCCACCTGAAGTTTAAGCTCAAGGTCACTGTTGTTTGACCGTACAATTTTTTTGGGATATTGGGGTTGATAAATTATTGGGGTTATCGGGTTCTTGGATTATTGGGTTATTTGGGTTATCGAGTTATTGGGTTATTAGAATTAACCTTATTCTTGTCCGATCATCCCTGTGCATAGATGAAGAAAATCATAAATTTGACCCCTACATGACCTTAGGCGGGGGGGGGGGGGGTTAACCGCACCCCACACATAATACGTTATCTAAACGTAGAATTTTCCGCTCTTTCCGAATCCGGGATCAAAAATATGGGTTCTTATTCAAAAAATGACTTTGACCTTCAAATGACCTTGAAAATAAATCTTAAGGTCAAATCGGATTTTACAGAAAGGTTGCCCCCATTGTCCCAAACAACTGTTGTCTGAACAATTTTTTTGTACAACGCCAACCGTCGAAAATTTCGGGGTGATTCCTTTAAAATGGGACACCCTGTATAATATTGTTTAAATTTTTTAACTATAATTTTAATTCCTGTTTACAAATGATCACATTTATCAAAATTTATCATAGGTTGTAATAATTCCTTTTATTTGAATCTTAGTGAAAGCTAGATAAGATATGTTTAATATTTATTGTCACAATAATAAATTTGAGTAAATATACTTCTTTGATACACGAATATCGGAAAGTTACCTTAATTAATCGGCCGCTAAGCGATTGCGAATTCGCATGTTCCTTATCTTACTTTTTACTAATGTTAAAAACACCACAGCACAGTTAAAATAGCAAGTAAATCTTTATAACTTTAAATCTAAAAACTTGGTAGTTATTTTTCAGATAATTATGTTTCTGGTTTAGATGTAAATAAAACTGTCCTGCACTCCAGAATATACAAAGTGAAGTTAATTAGGATTGTTATCACGGGGTTTCTAGTCGCGTCAACAATATTTTCGATTGATATAAACCTAGATTGATATAAATTTAGAGACCATTGCCTTTAGTAGAAGAAAAAGCGTCTCATCATCTCAGTTGCACGAGATGATCGGCTCCACGTCGGTAACAGCGCACAATATACACAACTTGACTTGATGGCATAAGAGAGTCATAGACGAGAGTGTAGCTCTCTGGATTCGCGGAAAAAGTCATGGGGCTTATAGGAGTGTGTGTGTACCTTGAACAAACGAGGAAAGCATAGGAGAGTTAGGCAAGATAATACGAGGCGTGAAATAAGAAAAATACAAGATTTAATCTGGAATCAGCAGTTTATACAACAGAATTAAGGCCATGTAGGGGACAGTGCAAAGAGAAAGAGAGGAAAGAGGGAAAGAGTCTTGATCTATCGTTAGTAGTTACAGTATTGACACGTAATCAAACGCTTTTTGTTGGATCAATACCTTACGTGCGGACAAAAGCACCGATGAGCGATCGCTCGTTCGAGCGTTGGATATATACGCTGGTAGTTGCACTTACGATGACAAGTTGGCTTCTTAAATAGCAGTTGCGTGCACTATCGCCTGTGAACGCACTTGCGTTGCTATAGTCATGTTGCCTATGCGAAAAACACGCGGCGAGAATATCGCAGTAAATCTAGATAGTGCACGTCACGTTCTACGCATAGCAGGCAACAGGCAAATTGCAATTGTGAAGATCCGCTGGTCTAGTGGTATAAAAAAGGTGCAAAATAAGAGTAGCGAATAGTGTTATTAGTTTTTGTCTAAATAACGATGAAAAAATTTAACAAGTAAAAAATATCTAAAATTCGAAAAATGAGTGAAAAAAGACAATTATTTGACTCGTTACGTCCATAATCAAACAAATTTGATTTTAATAACATATTTTTTGTGTATTTTGAGTCGCTGTGTTATTAGTTTTTACTAGGTAAGCGATAAATTAAATTTATATCGCAAAATCGTCAAAAAAACTTGAATAATCAATGAAAAAGAGCAGATAATTTGCAGACAACGTTGATGATCGCCCTGAAATAAATGGTATCATTAGCTTTCTCTCATTTTTGCGAAAAAAAATTTGAAGATAATTGATAAGAATCATGCTTTAAATGATCATTATTATTTATAAATATTACATTCTCTTCAATAACATACAAAAAGTAACTTCAAAAATCTAAGGTTTTTTAGCCTGTTTTTCAAACATCTGTAACTTTAAACAAAATGGATGTAGATAAAAGAATAAGGTCTTAAAATGTTTATATGTTGATAGAATATTGGGAAAACTGTGTTCATGTAAAAGATAACCATCCCTTAGAACAGCGTGTGAAATACCCCTAGTATTTAGGCTCACATCCGCGATCGCGACCACATGAAAGATATTAATAACTTCAAAAGAAGCATAAAAAATGAGCTCTCTTATTAAAAGAGGGAGTTTTCGGGGTCGCTGAACACGAATATGACATTGGTAAAGACCTTCGAGGTATCTGGTGCTCAGGATAACCTGTATAAACGTCGTCTTTTGAAGTTTTTCCGAAAAAATTTGTAAAAGTCGCTTGAAACTAATTAGTCAGGGGATTTAGAAGTTGCTGAATATGAATATGGTATCGGCGAGAGTCTTCGAGATACTTCGTGGCTAGGAGGATCGTTATGATATCGTTTACTGGAATTTTCCGCAAAATTGCATAATATTATATAGACGTTTTCACACGTTTTTAAAAAAGTAAAAGTCAAGCTTTCTTACATGAACTCTTCCAGAGGGCTCTCGTACGTTTTTTTTTCGAGCTTCTATATATTGCCTAGATATTTCTATCAATCTTGAGTCATCACTTGAATAACAACCAGTTGAGACAACATCACTGAGAGATCTGGTCAGTTAAGACAAGAACATTTAAATAAATAGTCAGTTGAGATATCACTAAGGGAACCGGCCGATTAAAGCAAGATTTATATGTGTTCCGCTAGCTGATGTAAAATGACTAAAATTCTTAGCCAAATAGGACAAGTTAACTTAGGTTTCAGCTTGTCATGATGAATTTTATATGAATAAAATAATATTTTCTCTAGATATACTTATTGCAACATCACAGATACTGGGGTGTGGTGTATATTTCTCTATATTGAGCCAATATACTATATGACCGTCATAACATAACCCAACGATTCTTATTCCACATTCGCAAGTTTAAAAATATTCTGTAACATTTTTTCGTCTTTCCTTTGACTTATCCGTAAGTACAAACATATGATGCTTTTTACTGTCTCTGTATCTTGATTTGATAAACGCTTTTACCACCAAAGATTTAAAAATATCAATATTAGTGACGATAATTAATATAAGCTGTCACATGCCTTGAATTTGGCTGAAACTTTTGAATTAAAAAAATTCCGTCTTTTTTGTGCTGAGCATAATAGGATTCAGCGTTGAAAATCTGATATGATCCTTGACAGATTTCATATAAATCTTGCAGTGTTAGTATTGAAAATTAAAGTAATGCATTATTTCCTTCATTGTCAAGAAAAGAATAATCTATATCAATATAAAGCACCCTAACTTCCGTCATGTTGTAGAATTCAACGATGTTTATTAATTTATTTGGTGTATTGTCTCTCGATAATATTTCATTTGCTATGAGTTCATCATCTCCGCCAGACACGATTGGTTTTTGAAATAGGCTTAGAGTAGCAAAGGTATTTATAAAATTATCTTTATCATTATTCAAAGTAATATTATCTGGTGGAATTGCAAATATTTTAAACTTTTTTTTGAGGTGACCGAATACTCGTTCAATTATCTACCTTACTTTAGTCACTTTTCTTATTTTATTAACCCCTGTTTTATGTGTAGGATCAGATTCGGAAATCAGAACATTCAGTTCTTTTTCCT